TAATTTATTAAGTTTTGAAATAAAGCACAAATCCACAAGTAATAAGATCCTAGTATATGTACCTAAGATTAAATAAACTTCAGTTTTGAATGACACATGATGCTGAATGTATTTCCCATTTTATGCATCCATTCAATAGGTATTTATTAAATCTTTATATGCCAACTAATTTTTTGGTTCTGGAAATATAGCAATGAACTAAACCAAATTAATCCTTGCCTTCGTGGAGCATACATGTTAAATGCAATTCATGAATAGAAAAATGGAAACACCATCAGTTTATTAGATGAAAACTGATAGGTACCTATAAGATATATGTCAATCAAAATGAGGAGGTTCACAATGTGAGTGAGAAACTTTGAAGTCTTTGCCTGTTCTTTACTAATGTATAATGCAGCAAAATATGTAGTGATAATGGGAAAATGAGTATAATTCATGATTCAAGATAATTCACAAAAATATTTGCTACTGAATAAAGTGCATTAAAAAGAATCTACTGTCTTCCTTAATCCTCTGGCACTGTTTCTACTTCAGTAAATTTGCTACTTTGCTATAAACACTATGATGAGCTAGGGTCCCATAGCTACTCTTTCTTGTGAATCCTTTGTCAGCAGTGCCCCATATAGCATGACTTTGCTTTCACTAGGAGATCAATAGGAACTTTGAACCTATGCCAATTGTGACTGTGAGAACTACCAGTCAATTACACTTTCCATGGAAGTAAACAAACTGCAATATCAAAACTTCTTTTAGACACTTTTGGCTTCATATGCATACTCTGTGTTCTGTAGTATTCCAGAAAACCTGAACTGGACACGTTTAAGAAAACCAGATATTCTGAAAATATGCATCCTCTGAACCTCAATATCATAAAGCTCTATGATTAAAAGAGTAGAAGTACATGTTGAAGTACCAAAGTCATTATCACCCTATTATGGGTGTATAAAACACTAAACGGTTAGCTAATTTTGCTCTCTACAGATTATAACTGTATCTAATTTTGTTGAAACACATAGTTCACCTTTGAGTTTCATTGTTGAGTTTATTGAAATAATAAAATAATAAGAAATAAAGATTTCATAGATATTATTTCCATTTTTTACCACCAATCATTCACTTCATAATACATATCAGACACTCCTTTGTCCAAGGCACTATTCTAGACCTAAGGACTCAGCAGTGAATGAAATAAGCAATACCCCTGCCCTTATAAAAATTACATTATGTAATTAATATATATATATCAGATGGTGCAAGTGCAAGAGCTACAGAGAAAAATAAAATAGTGAAGGAGCGTAGGGCATGGCGAGGTGTGAAGAGATTAGGATGAGAGTTGGTTTTTCAAGTCACAGAGTAGACAAGGAAAGTCCATGAGAAATTCACAGGAGAGGAAGAGGGCCTGAAGTAGTCTGGGCAAGAAGCATCTCTGAACGATGCAATGCCGAGTACAAAATTCCGTAGGCAGGACTGTATCTGAAGTGTCCTAGGAATAGAAAGCCTGGGCAGAGCTGCTGAAAAATAGTAGGAGTGAGGTAGGAAAAAGATGCAGGGCTCCAGATGGCTGGCATTGAACCTTGTGGGTAATTCTGAATTTGTGTATTACTCTGAATGAGTAAATAATTTATTTTCTTACATAAATATGTATTATAAATGTTAATATAAATGTATTTTTATATAAATATGTATTATATAAATTGTATATTTAATACATAGTATATAATTTTATGAATTATGTATATAACTTAACCTCAACTGATGTTTGATACTGTTCAGATGGGCTATGACTGGTTATTCACTATTCACTATGGGTGGCATATTTTCCATTTTATTGTATGTACATTTTATATATATAATATACTTGCATATGATATATATTATATGTTATTTCTGCCTAGACACACACATACCATTTATTAGGCCATAATGATCTTTCCTGTGTCTCTTATAGCAGCCACAAATTGCAAAAATAAAGGTCATATGCATCAGGAATAATATTAGTCAACACTTCTTTGTGGTATTAAATGCAGAGTCAAAACAAGTCACAGCTAATAGACATAAATTGCTGTTGAATCAAATATCTGTATGTTTGGGAATTCAAAATATGAATGGCATCTGAAATAGCACTTACTTTTGTTATTTTAATCAGAAAGTAGGCATTTAATAGGTGCTGGCATATAGCAATAAATAGCATAAGTGACTGTGACTTCTAATGAAATTTGGGGGAAATAAAAATAAAAGAAATTGTCTCTTTTTTAATTGAATTATAATTAACAGTCAAGGCAATATTAGTTTCAGGTATACCAGATAGTGATTTGATATTTTTATACATTATGAAATGATCACAATAGGTCTGTCATCATCTGTCACCATACAAAGTTACTACAGTATTATTGTATAAACACCCTATACTGTACATTACATTCCCACAACTTATTTATTTCACAACCAGAAGTCTGTCCCTCTTAAACCCCTTCACCTATTTCAACATCCCCCCATACCCTCTTTCCTTTGGCAATCAACACTTTATTCTCTGTATTATTAGTCTGTTTCTGTTTTGTTTGGTTTGTTTTTTAGATTACACATATAAATTAAATAACGTAATACTTGTCTTTCTCTTCCTGACTTATTTCACTTAACATAATGCCCTCTAAGTCCATCCATGTGGTCACAATTGACAAGATTTCTTTTTTATGGCTGAGTAATATTTCATTGTATATATATACTGCATCTTCTTTATCCATTCATCTTCTTTATCCATATCAGTGGACACCTAGGTTGCTTCAATCTCTTAGCTATTATAAATAATGCTGCAGTGATCATAGGGGTGCATATATCCTTTCAAGTTAATGTTTTCATTTTCTTTGGGTAATTACCCAGAAGTAGAATTGCTATGTTATATGGTAGTTATATTTTTAATTCTCTGAGGCACCACCATACTAATTTCCATAGTGACTGCACCAATTTACCTTCCCGTCAACAGTGCACTGGGGTTCTTTTTTCACAACTTCTTCACTAACACTTATCATTTCTTGTCTTTTTGATAATAGCTAACCTGACAGATGTGAGATGGTATCTCATTGTATTTTTGATTTGCATTTCACTGAGGATTAGTGATGTTTAGCATCTTTTTATGTGCCTGTTGGCCATTTGTATGTCTTCTTTGAGAAAATATCTCTTTAGGTTCTCTGCCCATTTTTTATCAGGCTTTTTGGGCTTGTTGTTATTGAGTTTTATGGGTTCTATATATATTTTGGATATCAAATCCTGCTTGTATATATTGTTTGCAAAAAATCTTCTCTCATTCAGTAGGTTGCCTTTTCATTTGTCAAGGTTTTTCTTCATTGGGCAAAATCTTTTTAGTTCGATATAGTCCCATTTGTTTATTTTTGCCTTTGTTGCTCTTGCCTGAGGAGACATATCTGGAAAAATTTGCTAAGACTAATGTCAAAGAGCTTACTTGTTTTTTTTCTTGGAGTTTTATGATTTCAGGTCTTTCATTTAAGTCTCTTTTTTTCCATTTTTAGTTTATTTTTTATATGGTCTAAGATAGCAGATTTTTCATGAAGCTATCTAGTTTTCCCAATACCATTTATTGAAGAGACTATCTTTTCCCATTGAATGTTCTTGTCTCCTTTGTTATAGAAGAATTGACCACATAAGTGTGGTTTTATTTCTGGGCTCTCCATACTGTTCCATTGACCTACATGTCTGTTTTTGTGCCAGTACCATATTGTGTTGATCACTGTAGCTTTATAGTATAGTTTGAAACCAGGCAGTATGATGTCTCTGCCTTTGTTCTTCTTTCTCAAGATTGCTTTGGCTATTTGTGTGTGTGTGTGTGGTTCCATACAAATTTTATTTGTTCTAGTTCTGTGAAATACGCCGTTGGTATTTTGATAGGGAGTGCCTCAAATCTGTAGACTTCTTTGGTTAGGATATACATTTTAATAATATTAATTTTGTAATCTATGAGCACAATATATCTTTCCATTTACTTATGTCTTCTTCAAGTTCTTTTGTCAATTTTTTTATAGTTTTCAGAATACAGGTCTTTGCCTCCTTGGTCAAATTTATTCCTAGGTATTTTATTCTTTTGATGCAATTGTAAAAGGAGGTGCACTCCTAATTTCTATGTCTGATAATTCATTTTAATGATAGAAATGCAACAGATTTCTGTATATTGATTTTGTATCCTGAAACTTTACTGAATTCATTTATTAGTTCTAATAGTTTTTTGGTGGAGTCTTCAAGAATTTCTATATATAATATCATGTCATCTGCAAATAGTGACAGTTTTAGTACCCATTTGGATGCCTTTTATCTTTTTCCTGCTTAACTGTTGTAGGTAGGAATTCCAATACTATGTAAAATAAAAGTGATGAGAGAAGGCTAGTTTTCTTGTGATCTTAAAGAAAAACACTTCAGCTTAGAAAAATGTTTCTTTCATTTACATTATTTTGAAGATATACAACATATTTAATAACACATTTTGAAGGAAACATGAACTACTTTAATATAGGAATTTACTAATGATTATAAGACTCACATGACTTCAAAAATAATAATTTGTTAAAAAGTGCCTTGATGTAATGAAAATGTATTAATATAATCATGTATACATAAACATAATGGAATATATCACAGAGTCCTTAAATTTTAGAAACATAGGAGATAGTCATTGAAAACATCTTTATACTTTAGAAAAGTAAGATCATTTATTTGTGTTTACAAGTTTTATAGAGAAAATGTGTACCTAAAATTATATGTGAATAGTTTTATTTAGAAAATTCTCAGTATATTTAGTTGATCTATATTTTCAAAACACTTTACAATCTACAAACTTGTTTTATATAGAGAAAGTAAAATTGTTTCCAGATTAAGAGAAAATTTGTTTGGGATTTTTACTAGTCTACATTCCAAGAATACCAATATATAGTATACCCAGTTGTAATTTCAGGGTTCTGTTAATCATGCTACTCTTTATTTGTACTATTTTGCAGCCCCCTCTCCAGTTACCAATGTGAAAAAGGGGAAGATTGCAAAAAACAGCATCTCTTTGTCTTGGCAAGAACCAGATCGCCCCAACGGAATCATCCTGGAGTATGAAATCAAATATTTTGAAAAGGTGGGGCTAATAGAATAAAAAATGTCATTTCTTCCTTTTTTTTTCATTTTAGCAATTGCAATTATCCAATTTGTAGAAAAGCATGTTGCAACTTTATGTGTAAATCAATGACAATTGATTCTGCAGTCATGATTAGGGAAGCTAGAAGTGTACAGGGAACACTCTATTATGTTCTTCTGCTGCCAAAGACTTGATGCTGCCAGAACACTGCCATATAGTCTAACATTAGCTTAGCGAGGCTTCACAGCACTAACAGATGTAGTCATAGGGCATTTTGAAAGTGCCACAAACACTTAAGTTGTTGATCTTCAGTAGTGACTGCAGTGTACTACAAGGGAAAACACATAAACCCTGCACAATACCTACACTGTTAAGGAATTATGGGCAGACAAGATGTGAATATAAGGTATAATTTTTAAATATTGATAAAAAAATGAACACTGTATTATAAACTTTATTTTATAACTTGAAGGCATAAAGTCAGATTGTGTGCCTCACATTCCCTGTATTTTCTACCTTGAGTTGTCCCTTAGGTCCATCTTACATGTTTTTTCCATACGAGTTGTTGAGGTCTAAAGGCAATAATCACCCCTCTTCTTCTTTTCTAAATCCACATCAAGTGAGCAATTGATAAGAATAATACAGATGGAAAATAAAATGAGCTTAAATTTCTAAAGGGGACTGGAGTATGTGTCTTAGATATGTAGCCATCATGAGTTTTCCTACAACTCCCACCCTCATTTTACTATGATTTTTGTACAGTCTGGATCTGAATGACATGCATTGCTTAGAACATCCTGATTTCTAATTGAAGAAATAAAGATAGATGAGCGCCCAAATCTGCCTTTAAGAGGTGGGTAGGAGACCCTGACCCTAATGTGAGTGTGCCCCATGGAATAGGAGTAGGAAAGCTTGCAGCATAAGGCAGAGAAGCAGATCCTGAAAGAGAAGGGGAGGACTCAGCCACACTCACTCAATTGTTTCTCCCAAATTCCTCTCTTAAGTATGAATGAAGAGAGCAGAGGAAGTTGAAAAATTTAATTCACAATACTTTAGAAATTGTCCAATATAAGACATTGGAAAAGAGAGAGGGAATAAATGGTCCTTAAGCTAATGCAAAAATTTCAGGAAAAATATTTAATGAAAATTAATTAAAATTCAGCATTTGGTATATATGCATAGATAAAAGGTAAATACGTTAAAATACATTGAACAAATTCATAAAATTATGAAGATTTTTAAAAATTTGCTTCTTTCATTCATTGATTCAACAATTAACCTGTATAAAGGTAGCACAGAGAATAAGACAGTAGAGTGGACAGTAGGGAGAGTGGGGCTATCTGCATATTCTTTTTAGGCTTTGGATATCTGTGTAATGTCTATATGTGGATTTTGTAGATAGTCAATTATTACTTTTGAAATAGTTGTCTTTCTAGGAATGATGCACTGTTAGCATTACAAGTGATTACTGGATCATAGAGAACACAAATGAAGAATTTATATTTCACAAAAAATGTATTATCCAAATATATTATTAACCAAGGATGTTCAAAGAGAATACCTCTAACACAAAGTTATATTGGGATTCGGTTTATAGTGTTTATTCTAAAAAAATGAGGATAAATCAACTAATATGATGTGACATTAATATTTCTCACTGATTCCTGTTTCTCTGGGAATAGTAGTCCAAACTGAATTACAAATGCTAGAGGGCTTCAATTTAAACACATGCTATATCCAAAAATAATTTGTTAAATTAAGGTTTATATTCTTCAAGTTTTTGTAAACTTTATTACTGTATACTATACTGTATACTAATACAAAACTATATAAACACAGTCTGAGTTCTTTTGTAAATATCCCATTTCCAAATTTTATTGTAATTAAAGTTGATTTGGTAAGAAGTTTAATGTATAATGGTCTTTAAAAATAAGTATACACACAAAAATATATTTTTGAACATACATATCTTAGACAAAATAAAGTTCGACAGCAGAAAGACTAAAAGTTTACAAGTACTTATTTCCCTGCATAGTTTTTCTTCCTTATCCCTGAGCAATCAACTAGCTGGATGGATGTCTGGTTTTCTTTTTTGTCTTTAAGGAAGTTACTGTATTTTTCCCCCTTTTGAGTAATCTTTGTTTTTACTATTACTTCCCAGCATACGCGTGAATCTCCTATACATGATATTCGGTAGGAGGAAGGATTTATTCCTTTTTTTTTCTTTAAGCTGCTATATCTGTTAAAACAGTTGCTCCACAAGTGGTGTGGTGAAGACCTTTTCTACTGATATGCTTTCAGATAAATTTGATTCATATAGAATTATTTTCTTTAGGGTTTATTTTTAAGTTATATTTATTTAAGTAGGATTTGACTTTATATTTAATATTTTGAACTTAAAATTCTGTATTAATACATTCTATTATCTGCATAACTCAAAGAAAGAAAGATGATTTGGTTAAAAAAAATTCTATACATAGACTCCATAAATGAAGAACAAGTTGCCCACTTAAATGCTTTAAAAGCAGTAAAACCTTTATATATTACTTTGGGGAAGTTATTAACTTCTTTTGGCCAGTGTTGTCCTTTTTACAGTGAAGGTAGTAATTCCACACATTTTGCCAAGCAAAATTATTGAGTATTCCAATAAAATACTCAAAGTTTTTTTTAACACTTACAGAAGAAAAAAAAGGGGTAATAAGCTTTTATACCATGTATTGAAATGGGCATCCTCATCAGTTTCCAGTCATTTTGAACCTTGAGAAAGATGCGCTATTTTATTGGGTGGCTCTTGGCCAGACCCAGGTGGTAGAGCTTTCCAGGGCTCGTGCATTTGCCAGCTGGCACTCCTGCCTGTGATTGCCCTGCTCTAATAGAGGTCACTGGGCCTCTCTGCTCCTGCATGGTGATGGGCCCACTGCCATCTCTTAATTAAAGGCCAAGGCAAAGGGAAGCTGCCCCTTGGCAGGGTGTTTGCCAGCTGGCTCCGTCTGCTGAGGCCCTCCCCTCGCTGCATGTGAACCGTGTTTGCTAAGCAGCTGGGGAATGTAGCTCATTTGCTCAGCAGGGGCACCAAGGCAACGAAAGGCACTGCCCTGACCAAGGACTTGTCAGCTGTGGGGTTGTGGCTGTTGAAGATATGTACACAGGGTTTTCTGATACGAAGGAAATTTTAATAGAACAGTGACTCAAAGGAGTGGAACAGAAGCAAATTTTGAAAGGTACTTAAATAATTCAAAATGTGAATTTATGGAATTTGATCCCATAAATGCTTTGCTAAGTCCCTTCAACAGTATAGTCTTTAACTAACTCAGAAAGAGTACAATTGAACCCAAGAGATGTGCCTAATGTTAATATGTAAATCAGAATGTTGTGTCATTTTGCTCAGTTATATTTTATCATGCATTATGTCAAGGAGCAGCATTCCAGTTTCCTTGTAATGTTTTTTGGCAAAAGTATCAAGTTCTGATTTGTTTTTTTAATGACTAAATTGTGACTTCGATAGTTAGGAGTTAAAGCCATATAAGCTTTAAGAATTTGTTTTTGTTTCAGTAGAAGCATTTGCCATCGTTCTCCAAGGTCAGTTTACCCACAACCAACTGTTACGTTGTGGAGACTGTGCTGAGTTCTATGTATATTATCTCTACCTCTACGTCACAGTGCTCTTGATAAAAAATTTCATCACATTTTAAAAAAGAAAAAATTGAATTTGAGTTGCATATGCACATTTACACACTTAGTTAATAACATGCCTTGAATTCCAACCTTGATATTTCTGAGCTGTTTTATTTTAAAAAACTTCTTACTTTATGTTATAAATGTTAATATTTTATGTAAAAATAATCATGTCAAATATATCAGAATGTTAACTTCAGTTCTGTCTACATTTTTTTCACCAACATAAATTCTCTTTAAGCAAAATGAAGATGATAATGAACCGATTTTTTTTATCACTGTTTACTGCTTCAGCTACAGCCAAACCAAAAAGTATAACATTACTATGAATGTCTTGTACATTCAGTCATAAACTTGAACATACTGAGGTCAGTAACTACAGTAGTATATATATAGAAATTACCCCTTTTAAGAGAAATGCATCAAGAAATTGTGTTCTTTTGTACTGTTGTACCCCTAGCATATAGAAGAGATAGTACAGTGGCAGGAGAAGATCAATGTTTGTGAATGCTGAAAATGACTGACATGACTAGGTAAAATTGTATAGGATTTAATTATCTACCTTAAATCCTTTGCAAACCCAACAAAATTTCCTAATCACCTTAAAGATTAGGTACTTAAACTAATCCATGCATTAAAAAAATAAAGATCAATCATTTGTATAGAATGTATCAGAAAACCTATTTGGATTAGATATTAGACAATAGCTGTTTAGAGAGAAATTTGGATATACTTAACTGTAGGTTATTTTCCATGTTTAAACATATTAAATGAGGAATGGAAAAACTGTTTTAAAAGAAGAATGTTTATAAGGTTGTATATTTTAGATTGGTGGCAGTATACAATGTGGTTAGAAGTTGATGTCTAATTAGAAAAAAATTAAAATTATAATTGACAATAAAACCTGTACTTTACAGTTTATTCAGTGTTTCCTCATGCATTACCTCTTTCATTCTTACAACACATGTGAGAATATTCAAACACCAATTTCTAACCCAGTTTCATAGGTAAGGAAACTAAGGATAAAGTACAAAAGCATTTGCTGTATTTTAGCAATTTGCTTTGAGCGTCCATGCTAAAATCATAGTATGGTATGCTGTTAATTGTCTACTTCAAGGGAGAAGGAGAGTGGAGTCCATTAGTTTCGCATTTTCATAGCATTATGAAGATTAAATAATAACCATTCTCCTTTATTGGACTGCTTGAGAAGTAAACATTATATTCTTGGCTTCAATTTTTTTGTCATTTAGGAAAAAAAAATCCCTTACATGTTACTCCCAATAGATTCTTTAAAGAAAATTAATACATGTTTCTATTCATAGAGACAAATTTCCCTGAAATATTTAGAAAACAATGGTTTACAGTCATTGATCTACTGTAAATAAAGAACAATTCTTTAAAAAAACAGGGGGGCGGGGAAATCTGTGTTACCTCTCTTTGGTTTGTCTCTTAATGTCTATTAGATAGGAAAAAAACACATTTAGCCAAGAATTCACACAGAAAACAGAAGGGAAGAGAAAGTTCAGAACAGGACTTTGTGTGTTTTAAATCTTTATGGGTCTGAGATTTTATATTCAGCATCACTTCAGAGATAATGAGGACTTACTATCTCAAATGCTTTGTCTTGACTTTAGTTAGTAGTTAGTCAAAAATAGGAAGTTCCTCTCTGTTTCAGTTTCCAAAACTATCTTTCCAGTAATTTTTCCCCCACTCTGTCTTCATTCACTACTCACCCAGCCCAAAAACCTAACAGTGAAAAAATATGTTTTTAAAAAGGAAAAAAAAAAGCATTTTGCTTATTTACATTATTTTCTTAAATACTCAGTTTAGATGTAGTGAATTGAAATCACAGTTCTCCAGTGAACTTTAAAGTTCTCATTCCTTCTCCCAACCTGTAAACATAATTAGAAATCAAATTCACTAAAGATATACCTAGCAGAATATGAAACATTGTCACCTTTTTCCATGAACAGGCAGTATGTTAGATGTGCGCCAATAAAACATTTATGAGAAAAACAAGCATGCAACATTAAAATAAAGTCTTTAAAATGATTTATCTCCTGCAAATAGTTTTTTTCTTTTACTTTGTGTTCTATTTTTTTTAAATTGAACTATAGTTGCTATACAATCTTATATTGGTTTCAAATATACAACACAGTGGCTTAATAGTTACCCATATTATTAAATCCTCACCCTCACTAGTGAAGCTACAATCTGTCGACACTGGAAGATGTTACAGAAACAGTGGTTATATTCTCCATGCTGTACTAGCATTCCTGTGACCAACTTCTATTATGATTGAGAATTTTTGTGCTCCTATCTCCCTCTGGTGACCCACCCACTCCAACCCCTCCTGCATGTCACCTCTTGGTGCCCATGAAGTCTTCTGCTCTTTTGTTTTGGTTTTATATTCCACAAATAAGTGAAATCATATGGTGTTTGTCTTTCTCTGCCTGGCTTGTTGCACTTAGATCCTCTAGATCCTCTAGTACCCTCTAGATCCATCCATGGTGTTGCAAATGGCAGGATATTTTTCCTGCAAATAGAATTTTAAGTTTACAAATGTATTTCTGACAAAGGCAAGTATGCTGGACAGGTGGAGAACATATCACCCATCTTTGATTTCTAGAAAACACTTTAAGGTTCTACATAAATAGCACACATAGGATGTACACTTTTTTTTTCCAAAACACCATATTTGTACTAACAGCAAGTCTATTCGTTTCTGATAATTTTTCTGATCTATTATTCTAAGTTTTGCTGTCATTAGTAATTCATATGTTGACTTTTTTTAATTTTATGTGTACATATAATCCAAGGACCAAGAGACCAGCTATACAATTATCAAATCTAAGGAGACAACTATTACTGCAGAGGGCTTGAAACCAGCTTCAGTGTATATCTTCCAAATTCGAGCACGCACAGCAGCAGGCTACGGTGTCTTCAGTCGAAGATTTGAGTTTGAAACCATCCCAGTGTGTAAGTCATTTTAATTACTGTCAACTCATGTCTCTGTAATGGTTACCAGGAAAGAGTCAGTGGATCAATACTCTCCCTGGGCATTCTGTCAGTCTCCATTCCTTCTCTCTCTCCCACTCATGACCCCTTCAGGTGGGAAGCATCTGTCAGCCATTACGGTAGGTTAGCGGGTTAACACATTGGTCCCTGCTCCTCATCACATTTAGTCCACTGGGAGATGAAACGTCAGGAGAGCCTTAAGAAATGTTTAAACCTTGCTTTGAAAGACTTTCTTTCCACTGCTGCCATACTTTATTGAATTATTGCCATTTACTTTTTATTTGTTTTATTGAACAAGGCTACCAGGCTTACTCTTTCTATGAAAATCCCACAGGGAGGTCTCATTAGTATTAAGTTTGGCAAGACAATGGTGCTTTCAGGAACCAGTCTGATTTTTTTAAAAATAAAACCTCTGGCAGTATTTCTGAGTGCAGAGTCTGGAAATTTCTGGGAAGCCTTCTCATACCATTTTATTTTTCATAAAACTTTTTCCTCTTTAATATCAAACAAAATATTTAGATTACTTGCTTGTCTTAAACATACATTATAAACAGGGTTAGGGGAAGATAATAACTTGCCCTCCTCTAAGCTGAAAGAATTGACACTATTAAAGGTTTGTTACGAAGAAAGCACATAGGAGAAGTATAAAATATGAAATATGTATATGCATCTATGTGTACATATGTATGTATATTTTAAAAAGAATTTTCTGATTGGTTACTCAATTCATAACAATGATGCATGATAACACAATGATACATTGATTTGCTTAATTTTAAAAATGTGTTTATTAATTTATATTATACTTCACTCATAAAATCATAATGAAGGACTTTCCTTTTTCATCTGCATTAGCTTATATAATTATATATACTGTTATATACTTTAAAAATCCAGGTCATATTAGGTTTACTGATTTTAAAATGAAGAAAAAAAATGTATATTTCCTCCCTTTGAAACCAACAGACAGTTTAGTTGTCACATTTACTTTGGAACAATTAGAAGAATTGTTATATTAAGATTTCTTTAAACTTATAGGTCTTTAGAAAATCAAGATGTACATTTATTTAAAGCATATTTAACTGAATTATCTGGTAATAAAATATAATTTTTATTACCTAAAAAATAGGAAAGTGCTACTTTACTTGATTTTATGCAGATTAGGGAACCATGATGAAAAATGATAAATTATTTCCTTTCTATGCAAGGAAAACTCCATGTCTGAGGTTTAATTGAAACTACTAAGATTTCATACTATTTTTAAGAATTATTTAATAAATTTGATAAGAATAGATGTTATTAGTCAGAAAATTCCCATAATATTGTCAATAGATTAATTATTTAATCCCACACTTGAATACTGAACAGGATTTATGGTGAAAGTCTTGTCATGTGAGTGGCCACTCTACTAGGACTTGTTTCTGTCCAGGGACCATTAGGAATGTATACTGCTTATGTGGTTCTCCAAGTCTGAGAACAAAGTCATAGAGAAATCTCACCATATGCTTGAGTGCTTGGATAACTATCCAAATGGAAAATCCCATTTCAAGAGATTTCAAAGCTCCACTCAGTTTTAGGATGTTGGCACGTTCAGCAACTAGTTTTTCCTCAGATTTTTCGATATTTGTTCCCTCACTTTATTAAGTAGTAACTTTTGGGCAAAGCAAAATTTATCAGTCTGATCACTGAGAGAACTAATGCAAGATCATTTCCTGTACACTTTCACAAAGCTTCACTTGGGACATCTACTATTTAAATTTTTCCTACATAATTTCTAGAGGAAAAGAAGTATCACATATGGTTTTTTTTCTACAGAAGTAGATTTTAGTGTTATTATTAATAGGTAGTGAAAATATTTTAGGTCTGTACTGCCTCCTAGATAATAGTGTGAGATTTTGTTTTTACTTGAGTGTGCATAAGGTAAGGAAACTAAGGATAAAGTACAAAAGCATTTGCTGTATTTTAGCAATTTGCTTTGAGCGTCCATGCTAAAATCATAGTATGGTATGCTGTTAATTGTCTACTTCAAGGGAGAAGGAGAGTGGAGTCCATTAGTTTTGCATTTTCATAGCATTATGAAGATTAAATAATAACCATTCTCCTTTATTGGACTGCTTGAGAAGTAAACATTATATTCTTGGCTTCAATTTTTTTGTCATTTAGGAAAAAAAAATCCCTTACATGTTACTCCCAATAGATTCTTTAAAGAAAATTAATACATGTTTCTATTCATAGAGACAAATTTCCCTGAAATATTTAGAAAACAATGGTTTACAGTCATTGATCTACTGTAAATAAAGAACAATTCTTTAAAAAAACAGGGGGGCGGGGAAATCTGTGTTACCTCTCTTTGGTTTGTCTCTTAATGTCTATTAGATAGGAAAAAAACACATTTAGCCAAGAATTCACACAGAAAACAGAAGGGAAGAGAAAGTTCAGAACAGGACTTTGTGTGTTTTAAATCTTTATGGGTCTGAGATTTTATATTCAGCATCACTTCAGAGATAATGAGGACTTACTATCTCAAATGCTTTGTCTTGACTTTAGTTAGTAGTTAGTCAAAAATAGGAAGTTCCTCTCTGTTTCAGTTTCCAAAACTATCTTTCCAGTAATTTTTCCCCCACTCTGTCTTCATTCACTACTCACCCAGCCCAAAAACCTAACAGTGAAAAAATATGTTTTTAAAAAGGAAAAAAAAAAGCATTTTGCTTATTTACATTATTTTCTTAAATACTCAGTTTAGATGTAGTGAATTGAAATCACAGTTCTCCAGTGAACTTTAAAGTTCTCATTCCTTCTCCCAACCTGTAAACATAATTAGAAATCAAATTCACTAAAGATATACCTAGCAGAATATGAAACATTGTCACCTTTTTCCATGAACAGGCAGTATGTTAGATGTGCGCCAATAAAACATTTATGAGAAAAACAAGCATGCAACATTAAAATAAAGTCTTTAAAATGATTTATCTCCTGCAAATAGTTTTTTTCTTTTACTTTGTGTTCTATTTTTTTTAAATTGAACTATAGTTGCTATACAATCTTATATTGGTTTCAAATATACAACACAGTGGCTTAATAGTTACCCATATTATTAAATCCTCACCCTCACTAGTGAAGCTACAATCTGTCGACACTGGAAGATGTTACAGAAACAGTGGTTATATTCTCCATGCTGTACTAGCATTCCTGTGACCAACTTCTATTATGATTGAGAATTTTTGTGCTCCTATCTCCCTCTGGTGACCCACCCACTCCAACCCCTCCTGCATGTCACCTCTTGGTGCCCATGAAGTCTTCTGCTCTTTTGTTTTGGTTTTATATTCCACAAATAAGTGAAATCATATGGTGTTTGTCTTTCTCTGCCTGGCTTGTTGCACTTAGATCCTCTAGATCCTCTAGTACCCTCTAGATCCATCCATGGTGTTGCAAATGGCAGGATATTTTTCCTGCAAATAGAATTTTAAGTTTACAAATGTATTTCTGACAAAGGCAAGTATGCTGGACAGGTGGAGAACATATCACCCATCTTTGATTTCTAGAAAACACTTTAAGGTTCTACATAAATAGCACACATAGGATGTACACTTTTTTTTTCCAAAACACCATATTTGTACTAACAGCAAGTCTATTCGTTTCTGATAATTTTTCTGATCTATTATTCTAAGTTTTGCTGTCATTAGTAATTCATATGTTGACTTTTTTTAATTTTATGTGTACATATAATCCAAGGACCAAGAGACCAGCTATACAATTATCAAATCTAAGGAGACAACTATTACTGCAGAGGGCTTGAAACCAGCTTCAGTGTATATCTTCCAAATTCGAGCACGCACAGCAGCAGGCTACGGTGTCTTCAGTCGAAGATTTGAGTTTGAAACCATCCCAGTGTGTAAGTCATTTTAATTACTGTCAACTCATGTCTCTGTAATGGTTACCAGGAAAGAGTCAGTGGATCAATACTCTCCCTGGGCATTCTGTCAGTCTCCATTCCTTCTCTCTCTCCCACTCATGACCCCTTCAGGTGGGAAGCATCTGTCAGCCATTACGGTAGGTTAGCGGGTTAACACATTGGTCCCTGCTCCTCATCACATTTAGTCCACTGGGAGATGAAACGTCAGGAGAGCCTTAAGAAATGTTTAAACCTTGCTTTGAAAGACTTTCTTTCCACTGCTGCCATACTTTATTGAATTATTGCCATTTACTTTTTATTTGTTTTATTGAACAAGGCTACCAGGCTTACTCTTTCTATGAAAATCCCACAGGGAGGTCTCATTAGTATTAAGTTTGGCAAGACAATGGTGCTTTCAGGAACCAGTCTGATTTTTTTAAAAATAAAACCTCTGGCAGTATTTCTGAGTGCAGAGTCTGGAAATTTCTGGGAAGCCTTCTCATACCATTTTATTTTTCATAAAACTTTTTCCTCTTTAATATCAAACAAAATATTTAGATTACTTGCTTGTCTTAAACATACATTATAAACAGGGTTAGGGGAAGATAATAACTTGCCCTCCTCTAAGCTGAAAGAATTGACACTATTAAAGGTTTGTTACGAAGAAAGCACATAGGAGAAGTATAAAATATGAAATATGTATATGCATCTATGTGTACATATGTATGTATATTTTAAAAAGAATTTTCTGATTGGTTACTCAATTCATAACAATGATGCATGATAACACAATGATACATTGATTTGCTTAATTTTAAAAATGTGTTTATTAATTTATATTATACTTCACTCATAAAATCATAATGAAGGACTTTCCTTTTTCATCTGCATTAGCTTATATAATTATATATACTGTTATATACTTTAAAAATCCAGGTCATATTAGGTTTACTGATTTTAAAATGAAGAAAAAAAATGTATATTTCCTCCCTTTGAAACCAACAGACAGTTTAGTTGTCACATTTACTTTGGAACAATTAGAAGAATTGTTATATTAAGATTTCTTTAA